CTTTCGTGGGGATGGCTGCATAGAAATGATGTAAAAAATACTGTAAAATTTAGTCATGGATTCGCCTGTAGATAAGCTGTTAGAGCGATGGGATTTGATGAGAATCTGGGAACCAGAAGTCCCAGGTTCGATACCCGCTTCGAACGGCAGTAGTGACATCGGTTTTCACTTGAAAATATAGATAGGAATATGTTTCCAAAAGAAAATAGCCCATATCTAGCATTGTTGCATAAAAAATTTATTAATATTACAAAAATTGTAATAATAAAATTAATTGCATAAGATGGATCTACCTTCTAGCTTATAATGAAAAGTTATCCACAAGAGACCCTAAATGAAGATATAATACCAGAAAACAATGTCCTCAAATACTTGGGTCATCACTTGTGCTCTAAGTTGACTTGAAAAAATAAACATATAATTAAAAAAAATTAAAATTAAGGTATAAATATAGATAGAAAGTCAAAGCTCTCTGTCTACAATAACGTTCCTAATTTCAAAACTGTTTAGATTTCCATAAAATTTCTATATAAAACAAAGTTTAATTTATAAGTCAAAGTGATATTGTTCAAAGATAAACTACCCATACTCTGATCGCTTTTAAATGGTAGATATATTGAATAAAATAAGAAAAACTATGCAATTCGAAAAGTAAGATTTCATTAGCGTATAGATTTCATTAGCGTTGAATCTTATTATAAGGTAAATATTGCGCCTGAGATGGCAAGCCAAATAACATAAAAGAGAAGGTGTTGCCAACTATTCAGAACCTATTCAACAATACTTATTTAATAATCAATATTAATTGTTACATATTTATTACAATTGTTATAAGCAGAAATACTAGACACTAATTATTTGGATCTAACATATTTTTTGGACAAAGTTTCCCAAATACATGATTCTTACTTATATTTTTGCATATAGAAAAATAATTCAGCATAAATTGTCAGCGATAGATTTTACCCATTTGTAACGTAATTATGATTACTAATTTACAAATTAAAACTAAAAACGACAACTTTTTTCATATCAAAATTTAAAAAATCATTTCTCTAAATCCAAAATGTTAAACATTTTCTGATGTATATTTGTATATAATCCTAAATTTGGAGAAGCAAACTCTATTGTTAAAATATTTCCTGTCTGTAAAGTTGATTTAAGCTTTTTTGAAGATTAGTTTTTCCTCATTATCAGTATCTACATATCCAAAAATAAATTTGGTAATGATGATTAGACTAATTTATTAGACTAGATTAGACAATTATTCTAATATCAAATAAGGAATATATCTGTCTGCTAGTTGGAGACATAAGGAGAGAGAATAAAAAAAAATATTTTAATAAGATTCTAGCATGTAATTTTTTTGCACATTTCTCATTGTTTTATAAGAAATTTGGAAATACTATCTAGGTAAAGGATATTTGTGTCGCACAGCATGTTTAGTTCATTGCCTTTGTTTATTGTCCTATTGTTATAAATGATTATGAGATCCTTCATTGATTGTCTTTTGTATAAATTTCATTAAAATGTATTACAGTCAGATAAAAAAACTATATTATGTTTTAAAGTATTAATGTGTTCTGTAAGCATTGTTTTAAATTTTCTGTGATTCTGTGCATAAAAATAGTACTGATAGTTGTTGAGAAGTCGGAGTCCTGATTTATAGTATAGTAATTTTCCTAGGAAAACATAGTTCTTAAATGTGTGGTAGACATGACACTCATGATATATATCTATCTTACTGTCTGAGACTGTCTACATAACATAATAATAATAATTACCTGACTTGGAGACTCACTGTGATGTCATATGTCTACCATTTTATAGTACCTAACGCATATATTGCAGCACACTTACTCCTTGTGTTAATGTAATGTTAGTATAATTGTAAAATATTGTTATAATTACAAATTCAATATTTATATTAAATAGTGTAGTGCATAACTATACCATGCATTATTGATATTTCAATTTTTAACTCTAATTAATAATATTTTATTCAAGAAAAGAATATAATTATGTAATTGAATTTGTTTCACGTTTTATGAGTTTTTTATAATTTTTTTGTATCTATTACCGCAGTGTGAATTTAGTAATTCATCATATTAATTTTGTACATTTAATTCGATAACCATAATGATGTTATTTTTATTGAGGGCCTCGAGAGGGGCCTCTGGCAATTTGAACAGATGTCACGTATTTGTATCACTTTCACAAAACTCGCCATGACAAGAAAGATTAATTAATGAATAAATGCAATAAATTATTTAATCATTTCTAAATTGATTGCGAATTGAATTAAAATGTCGAAATGTAGGAGTATAGCTAATAAAGATTGTTATTATTGAAAATTATTGGAAATGACTGAAATGAAATTTTTTGTGTAGTAAAATTAGTTGATGGTGGATTTAAAAAATCTTTTAATTATGCAATTGGTTTAGCAGGGTTTTAAAAAGCAATATTATTAAATAAATTACGAAGCATACATGAATATCATTAGTTAGATATTCATTTTTTTATCTATTTTAAATGCATTACTAAAATTTACTTTATGAACCTAAGCATTGTTTATTTTTTAAAGTGCTTAAAAATGAATGAAACCAAAAAATTGTCATCAAACCCAAAATTATTAATATGCATTTAAGGTAGGGCGGGGGCATGAAGGTTTAATTTAAGTGCTTAGGTCATTTTTGCATACATAAATAAATTGGTAAATTTGCAATGGTTTGTTGTTATTTCATAAAATCCCATCAAAATTAATGACAAGACATTGGACATATTCGCCTCCTGGCTGTTCTTTGGCTGAGAAGGACCTTGCGACAATTTTTTTGAAAAGCAGCAGAAAAAATACATTTCCGAGTATTAGCTAGGAGTTTAACTGAACATAGTCAGATAGTTGTTTGTTCGATATGTGTTATTTGTTGTGTTATAATTGGTTTGGTTTTCACAATATAATTGCACAAATTCAAATTCGACCTTAGTGCACCGCCGTACCCTATGATATAATACGTTTTACGATACGTTTCAAAGATTTCTGAATAATTTGGCATACCTTAGAAAAAATAGATGTATGTGTGTTTTTTTTTGTATAGCGAAGGAAATGCCGTATGTCGGACCCAATACCTGGTGTAATACCGACTAAAACCTCCGCTTTGCCCTTGCCTCTGGTCCGCACGGAAACCGCCGTTAGGCATTACTTCGTGGGGGGAGGATCTAGAATGTTATAATTCTTAACTTGCTATAATGAATGTTATAATTCTTAAACTTATACTCATCTTTTAAATGGGCGAAGTTCATGTTTGTTGTGTGTTGAATGTGTGTGCGTCGCGTGTGTATGTGTGCGGATACAAACTTTCGTTGACGATTTCGGGAACACCGATCAACCGATTTGAATAATTCAAATAGCATTCGATTCGTATTGATAAGGAGATGTGCTGATTAGTTTTTGGCACAGGCAGGTCTATCCGTTCCGAAGATACGGGGCAAAAAGTGCCAAAAACGGTAACTCAGTTTTTAGGTAAACGGAGCGTCCGATTTTAATAATTCGAAAAACATTTTACTTGTATTGACGAAAAGAACAACTGGTAAAATTTTTGGGAAGGAAGGTCCAGCGGTTATGGACTCTCAATAAAAATATTTTAAAAAATGTCATTTGGCGGTCAAAAATGTTTATTGAAGATATGTACATCAAATTATCAGATATTTTATAGAGATTTTAATATTGTGACATATTTTGTGTAATTTTATTTGGTTTCCGTATCAAGATTTTTAATTTTGAAGTTTTTTTATATGATTCAAACAAATGTCCTCGACATTTTCGACAGTAACAGTTTCGGTTCGTACTCGATCGCGAGGCGTTTTCGCAAAAGGCAATTTTGCCGTTTCGGAGGAATGGAGCGTAAAGGGTGTAAAAACGGTTATGCAGTTTTCGAGAGAACAAATTATCTGATTAGATTAATTCAAAAAACATTTTCGCTTGAGTAGATGGTGTGCGAAAAATGCATTTACAGAAAATTTTGAGATTTGGAAAATTAAAAAAAAATCAAAATTTTCAAAAATAATTCAAATTATCGAAATTTTTCATCCTTTCAAAAAAATCTAAATTTTGAGAAATTAAAAAAAATGATATCTTACAAAACTTTGAAAATTTTTGGAAAATTAAAAAAATCGAATATTTTCAAAAATTACCATATTCTCAAAATAGATAAAAAAACGTTTTTTTCTAGATTCCAAAAAACTTTAAACTTCAAAAAAAAAATTCGAAATTTTGAGAAAAAATCTAAATTTTGAAAAAAATCTAAATTATCCAAAAAATCTAATTTAAAAAAATGGACTCTTGTAAACGTACACATAAGTTGTTTATAAAATACGCTCATCGCCCAATTTAAAAAGCACTTTTAAATTTACAATATGTATTTATAATAAATAATCTATTTAAAAAACTTCAAAACAATTATTGATTATTTTTTCATTCCTCTAATGTTTAAATACGGTATGGAAAATTCCAGCCAAGAGAAAGAATAATGTCCGTTAAATAAAATATGATTTTAAACATCAAAAGATGGGTCAACTTTGCTTCTACGGTATTTTTAAGAACGAATACTCGTATATCGACCTTTTTTACTTCGCGTTAGTGACGACGTTGCGTTTGTCGGTTTCCCAAGAAGCCCCAGACCCACTCAAACCGAAATCGAACGTCGTATATATAGTCAAAATTCTGGCAGTATTTACAAGCGCGAGGTAAAACAATTCCTGTTGCGGTTGAATTTGATGAAGGTATTATGAGGAGTGCGTCTTCGCTAGGTTCTTGTTTTCGGATATGTTTTGGAATAATAAAGGTCATTCTATTTGTGATCAATGTATATGTTCTGAAACATTTTTTCAACTGCAGGCTGTTCTTGTAAATTAAACTCTTAATTAGTGGCGCATGGCCTACCCTATGATATAATATGTATTATTTTTAATTATTTTAATAAATTTAAATCATTTGATTTCAGGATCTACTATCCAAAGTGTTCAGGCTTTTTGATCAAAACGAAACAGAGATTCTACAGCAAGATCGATGGGTCGAATGCATCAAAAAACGTTTAACGTAAGTCTATCTTAAAATTATTATATTAACCTCAAAATGATAATATATTATCATTAATTTATTTTCTTATTTGGAAAAACAAATTAAACTTTGTAAGATGAAGCCTTTATACGCTCTCCAAACTAGACATAATCAGAAAATTAATATAACATATTAAAACATATGTATTTTGTACATTTTAATTTGATATTAAGTGTTTACCTTCAATGCTTCATCTTCAATTTTAATTTTTAGCTTTTAATTATTATACTTTTGTTTTATAAATCGCAGTTTTTCAAACTAAAGATAAAACATTGCAAAATAAATTGTGAAATTGATATCAAATATATATATATATATATATATATATATATATATATATATCTAATTTAATTTTTTCTCAGGGACGCAAGTCAAATAGAATTTGCAGAGCAAGTGGAAAACGTAGCTTTCTTACTTTGTGGAGAAGAACCAATAGATAATGATAAATTTTACCAAATATTTCAAGAGAAAAATGTAAGTATTATATCTATTGCTAGTCTTTTATATCGCAATGTAAACTTACTTACGCAGTTACTAAAATTGTAAGACAATTGTTGTATACAAACTTTTCTTAAAATGAAGTTACACATTGATGTGTTATTACTGATCAAGGGATAAGTAGTTAATTTGCATTTAACTATCAAAATAAATTTTATTTCGATTGATCGATTATAAAATAAGTATATTTTTATACCATCCATAAGTTTTAAAAACCATAAGTACGATACTTTATTTACAATTTTATTTCGAAATAAATTGATTTGTCAGCTTCATATAAGTTTCAAGATATTCACAGGTTCAATAAATTTAGTTGATTAGATTTATAAGATTATTGGCGGTGTTATTTATTTAAATTGTTCAAAACATTCAAAAGTTTTCAGTATTTTTTTTAAATACAATCTGTTCTAAAACATGCAGTAATTGTTTTGACTTTATTATATGAATTTTTGAATGGATGGCAAACCAGTAGTTGTCCATTCTAATTATGACTATTTAACTATACTCGAAGTATTTGTTGAATTTTTTGTTATATATACGCAACTATACCCACGAGAGGCGATTTTCACTTGAGACTATATTTGAGATCTATAACCTCAAGCGGAAATTTTCCGCTTGATGTCGGGCCTTGGCGGTAGCGGGAATCGAACCAGCGAACCCGGGACTAGTTGGTGCTAGCCCACGTTCGAACCGATACCGCCACCGCTAGCCCAAAAACTTCAAATATTATAGCAAAAATTTGAATAAAACATTGTGATCAATCCCCAATTCTCCTTAAGGTTCCAGTGAAAACTTTCAAATACCATCAAAATCTTTCACATAAGATTTGTTTACAAATTAGATCTAATATTTATTTAAAAGGCTTTCAGCCAAAATTATATACCACTAGTTAGCTTCCCGTAGGGTAAGTTATAGTAATAGCAATCAAAAATAAAAATGTTTATCTTTACGTTTCAAAGGTTTCTGAACATTTTGGCATATCTTAGAAGAAATGTATTCCTTTGCGTGTATATATATATATATATATATATATTTATATATATATATATATATAAATAATTGTAAACAAATAATTATATAAAGTAATTATATAATTAATTATAACTATTCAGTAATTAAAAATACTCACATTTCTTTTAATAAGTCTTCCATATGTTTTGAGTCCCAGTATGATTGTTCCGTGGATAAATAATTAAAAAAAACATAAAACCCACTGACTATAAACAAACAACTTAGCGAATAGATTTATAAAAAAAAGAATATTTAATATAAAAAATTAAAATAAAATCAAATATAACTAACAACCGTGTTGGGCTATACGAAACTTTATGTATATATATGTATATATATATATATATATATATATATATCAAAATAAAATACAATAAAATGTCTACATCGTTCAGTTCCATAAAAATCACAATTCACGTCCAAACGACATTACTGGAATGCAAACGACATGTTCACTTTTTGTTTGCAATTTGAAGATGGGGTGTACAACCCGCAATAAAAAAACAAAATTAAAATCAATACAATTTTCATTTTCTTTTCTTAGTTTTCGATTTTCTAGGTGATCGCCTTACAATATAAATCTATGTTAATATTTATAAAAATGTTTAGAATAATAAAAATAATTAGTAAAATATATTCACACGTACATTTTTATTGCATACAGGAATTAAAATGTAATTTCTAATTTACTGAACTTTATTTAACCTTTATGCATTTTTTGTAATTAGTTTCTCTTACATAAGCAAAATAACAGAAAAACGCCAACAAAAATGTATATGTTATTCATGAATATTTATATTTATTTAATTATTAACTTTTATTAGAAATGTATATTTTTTAATTCTATAATTAAAATCAATAAATAGTTTAATATCCAATCCATCTAAGTTATCTAAGGACTACTTGTTTTAGTGTAGAAGCTTTTCCAGGCATATATGCAACATAGTTATCATAAAAAAATATGTGTGTATCCAACATATTTATGAAAAAAAAATTATGAACGAAACTGAAAATAGACAAAAACAATATTGAATTATATTCTATTATTTTATTTCTAATTCAATATTGTTTTTGTCTATATTTTGATATATATATATATATATATATATCCAATTATTAGAAGTAGAAAACAAAGTTAAGTATGGTAGTTAGTGTTATTTTTATATTGTTATATAGTTTTTATATATCCTTATATTATTTTATTTATAATTCAATATCGTTTTTGTCTATTTTCAATTTCATCCATAAACATGTTGGATACACATATCTTTTGTTTGTTGTTGTTATGTTTTCTCAATTTTTTGAATGTGAAGATGAGTTAAATAAAAAATTTAACAAAGAATTATATATATTTTCAAAATTTATTAAAATAAGTAATCTTTTAGTAGCTGCATGAAGGCCTAAAATGCCTTCTTATTATATCATACATGATGACTTTAAGAGGTTCACCAGCCCTGCCTCATGCAGTGCATACAAAAGTACTTTAAAGTAACTAAAATTGAGTTGCCAAACAAAGAAATAAAAATTTTCCTATAAAATCATATCGTTAAATGTTAGGTTGTTCTTATTACACCTATTACATATTATCACCTATTACATAGGTGATTTTAGTTCGTGATATCTTTTCATTCGACATTTAAGTTTCCGTACATAGATTGTTCAGTAAAATAAACTCATTTTAAGTATTTTTTTCTTAAAATAAGTAATCTAAAATAATTATAATTTATTTTACACAGGAAGTAAATACACAACAACTAAATAAAATTGTTTTAAAAAAAATTGTAATAAAACGATTTGAGTACCTTTCTTAATGGATAAAACTACAAAATTATTACAATAAATATCTGAATTATATAAAGTAATCAAAAAGATTTATAGAATAGTATAAAATATAGAACTAAAAAATATACCAAAAATAACCAAAAATAATAATATGAAACAAAATTTCTATTTCTACATTTTTTATTTGTACCATTCCATATTGTGCAAAACATTTTTTTAACTTTTATGTTTTTTATAGATACTTATTATATTATTTATCGTAGTTTATATATACTGAAGAAGAATCAAGCCGTGACTCAAAACATATCGAAAAGTTATTAAAACAATATATAAACAAAGTTTAAACTACGTTTTCTAGGCTTCCTTCTTTCCAATAAAAGAATGAATTCTTGTATGAAAAGATCTTTCAGATTTTCAATTTGTGTATATTTTGGTCTGTCATTATTATTAAATATGCAAAATTTAGTAATCGTGACAAGCTATTAGTAATCTCAAATATTAAATTATACTCTTGCTAAAATTATCGTCCAATAATAATAATTTTGCCACAAAATATTTAAATATGACGATCTAAAACAGCTAAATTTCAAGTGCTTTCAACCTTATTTGATAGTCATTGCAGATTAAACATTGTATCACTAAATGTCAGAAATTGTTTTGTTTAAGTTCTTATATAAATATTTTAAATTTAATTATATTTTTCATGGATATAAGAAATGTGAATAAAATTTATAAGTGAGTGTTACTTTTTGCCAAATAATTAGCAATTTTAATTTGCATAATTAATGCATATTGTGACGATTTAAAAGTTTATGATGCGGCGATAATATTTATTAATCAGACGATAATATTGATTATCGTTACGATATGATCTCAGGACTATTGTAAATAGTGTTGATAAAAAATATCATGTATTATACAGAAAACACATTTTCAAATATGTAATTTGTATTAGTAAAACTACTTGTATTAAGTGAGGCTGATGCATTTCAGTATAAACATATAATACTTCATATCTATATAAGGATATACCAAGTTGCTCTAGGGTATTTTGTTGTTGCAAAAAGTTATAGATTATTTATTAATGTCTCATTAAATGTCTTAATAACAAATATAAATATTTTATAACATAAACCTACCACATTGAAACTTTAAAAATATTTCTAGTACACGTTGTTTATGAAAATGACTTAAATTCTGTTTATATAAATGCACAAAGCATTTCAGTTTGAATAATCTTACATTATTATTTATTATATATAATTATTATATCATATTATTAAAAAAATAGTGCTTTGGAAAAAAGGGAATGACAACAATTTATCGATGGCTTATTTCTGACGGTAATAAATATTCATGACAAATGAGTTATTTCATGATAAAACAGATTTAGACTAACAATCATGTCAATGATTTACAATATTTAAATATTTATGACAAATATTTAGATATATCACTTTTTCGAAATATTTTTTTTTTGTTAAACGATTTGTTTCTAACATATTTAGAACCTTTGTTGAATAATTAATGGTATATAACATTAATAAAATTTAGATAGTTTGTGAGCAATTTGTCGTACCATAACCATTTTCTTTTGCTTTAAAGAAGTTACCTACATATTGTCATCATTGATCAGAAAAGCATCTTAGTTTATGATAAAATTAGAGTCAAATTTAAATTTAAGAATAAATCGAAATTAAATTAAAATTAAATATTACAATCTAACGTTTAATATACGAAACGTACACTGGTTTTAAAATGTATACCAAACTTATTTCCAAATCAATTGATTTTTATCTGTTTGTAAAATTTTAAAAATTTTAAAATTTGTTTTAGTTCTTTCTAAAGGTGTGATGCCAAATTGCCAAATTTGCTTACAATTACATTTGTCTTCTAGTAATATAAATAGACCGATAATTTATCAGAGGTATGGTTTCTTCAGCAAAGTATCTTATTATGATTCTTAGAATTCAAAAATCATATGTGCCTAATTAGTTTTTGATATTTGAATGTTTTAGAAATTAGTATTAGTATGAGTATATAAATCTTTTTTGAAATTTTCTAAATATTGATTTGTCTCATGCATTTAGAATTTTTGCTATTATATTAATTTTATATAACATTTATTTAGAATTTGGTATCCGCAATGTGTATTTAATAAGTTCGTAATATTCTTTCATGTCTGCAGACATTTACTTATGTGGGTCTTATAATCCGTTAATTTGATTATTATTTGAATAATTATATAAAAAATAATGGTTTGTTATTATTATCATTTAGATCGTAGATAAACTCTTCCGTGTAATTGATCAGAATGCAACAGGATCTGTGTCAACTGAACAAATTATGGAATTTTTAGCCAATCTCACTAATTGCAGGTAATTAATAAATTAACAAAAGCATAATGATTTTAAAATTTCTAAAATTTATATATAAATATTTTTTACACATCTTTGCACACATTTTTTTATAATTAGAATAATTAATTAATTAATTATAATTAATTTATTGTTAATTAATTTATTATTAAAATTTTAAAATTTTTATCGTTAGAGTATAATCTACCAACAGTATTATTATAACTTATTACATAGCATTTTGCATGTTTATTGAATTTTATAACATTTTAGCATACATTATTTTATATAATATTTTACCCGTATCTTTTTAATACAGCATTGCCCAAGGACTATTTTTAATTGGAAATATATATTTAATCTATATTTTCAAGTAAAAATTGACATTACTACTGCTAGATATCATATTTAACGCGGATTTATATATACTTAATTGTAAAATTTATATTTCTATTATATTTTAGTCCGAGAGCTGGTTTCGACAAAGGAAGTTTAGAATGGTTAGAGCAATTATTTCGGCAAACTGTTGGAAATGGAAAAGAAATCCGCCGTGAAGATTTTAAGAAGATAGTCATATCTAAAAATGTAACAAAAACTATTTATAAAATTTTTGTTAATAATTTACATTAAATTACGATATTTTAGCCTTTCTTCACGGAACGTGTGTTTCAAATATTTGACAGAGATAATTCTGGATCCATATCCATGCAAGAGTTTTTGGATGCGATGCAAAGATTTGCTGGACAATCTTCAGATGATAAAATTAGATTTTTATTTAAAGTATATGATTTAGATGGTAAGTTATTCTGAATCGAATGAGACCAAAGTACGTGTGTGTGTGTTTGTGTGAACAGATTTTTTGCCGTAAATCGACGTTTTCTCAAAAACGGCTGGACCGATTTCAAAAATTTGAAAGCCATTTGATGTATCTCGAGGAGAATTATTGTTTGCGCGACGATCTGCCAAGCAGTTTCTTTGTAATTAGGAAAAATCGTTAAACTTTTTGTTCACATTTCAGCTCATACTACCGAATCGATTTAAAAAAATCAAAAACTGTTCGAAAGATATTAGTTGGGAATGATACTGATTAGTTTTAGGTAAAAATCCACCGAGCCGTTTTCTTGTTATTAACTGTTGAAAAAAAAATTGAGCCCATTTTGATGGAACCATGGTCTTATAGAACATACTGAAATATTACGGCCTTACGACAAGTGGTTTAATTTTAAAAATTTTTCAAAGTTTGAGAAAATGAGTAGTTTTTTTTAACGTTTGTTAAAATTCAAATTAGACGATTTACTTGGTATAACGATAGAGTACTTCGTCTTAATGTACATACTAAACTATTAAAGTCCTACGGAAACTAGTTCAATTATAAAAATTATTGATTTGTTAATATTTGCTTTTAGAAAACACTCCAAGTTAACGTGTTCGTTCGTTTTCAATTATGTGTTATAAATCCACTCGAAATACTCTTAATCATTCATAAATTAAATTATTTTTTATTGATTAAGTCAATTATTTACACATATCGGGAAGTTCATGTAACTTGCCCCAAGGCAAAATACCAATACCAACTAGTTTATTATGTTTCTCGCAAAATCCTTTTATCAATTAATAAATTTCATCTCCTTAATAATAATTTTAATATTTTAAATAATATTTTAGGTGATGGTTTGATCCAGCAATGCGAACTGCAACATGTAATGCGTGCTTGTATGGAAGAAAATGGAATGCAGTTCAGTGAAGACCAAATTTACGATTTGACCATGGCAATGTTTGAAGACGCAGATCCACATAATCGTGGAGCTATCACATATGAAGCTCTTAAAAATCAATTAGAGAAGCATGGAGGGTTACTAGAAAACTTATCAATAAGGTACATAAAATAGTTATTTATCAATTTGAAAATAGCTTACATAATCATTCACCCGGTTTTCTTTATTTCCAGCATCGACCGATGGCTGGTTCCTCCAAAACCAAAAGCGCCACCAGCATCTATGATTGGAAAACTTTTGGCTCTGAAACCATATCAGCTCTCTAGACCTTATATAAGAAATAACTATGTATTTTTAATTTATTTAGCGATATTTGTTAGTATTAACTTTGGTCTTTTTGTATCACGATTGATTCAATATCAAGACAGCCATATATTTGTGAGGATTGCCAGAGGATGCGGTAAGAAATTTTGAAAATATTTACTTTTACAGAAGCATTTCCAGAACTCAGACTGTAAAACCATGATGTAAAATCGAAGTTGTCAGGTTATTTCGGTTTTCAAGCAAATCTTTAGACAAAATATACAAAGAATAATTAATGCGAGTATTAAGCTAAATTTTTATCATTTTATGATGAAATCATACGTTTCGTCCAAACGGTCACAACGTATTTAATTGAATTGAAAGTAATCTTGAAAATGCTTTTTCATCTTTTTTTTACTCACTCTGCTTTAATCTATTGGATATTCTATTCTAATTTCAGGTCAGTGTTTAAACTTCAATTGTATGATGATTTTAGTACTTATGCTCCGGCAAAGTATAACATTTCTTCGAACAAGAGGATTTGGAACATTTTTACCATTGGATCAACATATCTATTTGCATAAAATGACTGGAATGGTTGTGGCGTTTTTTAGTATAATTCACACACTTGCTCATCTTCTAAACTTTAGTAAGTTAATTCCATTTTAATATCTGCATATAGCGCTTGAACAAGGCATACCATCTTTCTACGAAATGGAAAACGTCGCCTTTCAAAGAATATTACATTTGTGAACCGTGATGACTGTTTCATTTTCTTGCTAGGTATGATGGTGATGGATGATCCAATTCTAAATAAAGGCAACTTTACGTTGACTGATTGGTTGCTCACTGCCAAACCAGGCCATTTTGGTTTGGTGCATGGATGTGCAAACCCAACAGGAATTGCACTCATTCTTATCCTGATCATAATGACACTTTGCTCACAAGCGTTTGTAAGACGTGGTGGATGCTTTGAGGTAATCCAGATATCTTTTTTCTTAAGTAACTGAGAAAAATCAAGTCATGGTTTTTGTTTTTTGATAACTTTGTGAAGTCTTCAACATTGACATGTTTGATAAACATTTAAAACATGTACCTTTACATGAAATTGACAATACTATATCGTATATATCAAACAAATTGTCAGATATATAAGAAATAAGCCATCTTTATATTAATTTAATTTTGGATTTTTATAGATATTTTATTGGACACACTTACTGTATATACCATTTTGGCTGCTTCTAATCTTTCACGGACCAAACTTTTGGAAGTGGTACATTATACCAGGTTTAATATTTATCATCGAGAGGATCATAAGGTACATTGGTTCATAAAATATACAAAAAAATTATGCTAGTGAAAACTAAAATGATATTTTGTGTGTTAAATTTCTATTAGATTTTCCTGGATGCGTGCAGAACGTGGAAAAACATACATCAGCTCTGGTTTATTGCTTCCTTCGCATGTAACGCATTTGGTCATCAAACGTCCTCATCATTTTGATTTTCATCCTGGTGACTACGTGTTTGCCAATGTTCCTGCTATCGCCAAATATGAATGGCATCCTTTCACCATAAGCAGCGCTCCCGAACAAGAAGGTAATGGAGTTACCAAATTTTAACTCCGTTTTTTTTTATAGTTATCAATTATATTACTCCCAACTTCAAAGTCTAAACTGTCTATACTCTCATAATATTTTCAATTATTGCAACACGTATATAATTTATTTTCTATATGGATAGATTACATCTGGTTACACGTCCGAGGAGTAGGGCAGTGGACAAACAGGCTGTATAATTATTTTGAAATCGAACAAGAACGTTTGCAGAATGGAGAAGTTCCAGCTGTAGTTGGTGGCTTTTCGGGAACGGATTCTCCAAATAACGATGTATTTTCTTTACAAATATCCGAGAAAAACAAAAACGTTGCAAATAATACCCAGGACAACAGAAATCCAATCAAAAAACTCACAGCGTATGTAATTTATACCTAATCTTCAAATTATATATTATTTTTTTCGAATTTTGTCAATAATAATCTTTGCAAACGCAGTAATAGTTAATCATTTTAATTGAAGTATTTTTTAATACATGCATACCTGGTGATAGCTTGTGGCTCTCAGTAAGTTTATTTGTATATATAATTAGCAGTTAAAATAATTTTCCAAGTAATATTCACCACTAATAAATTTACCACTTATGCAATATTAATCAAAACACCTCTTCAAATCTACCTTAACTGTTTTTTTGATAAATGATAAATTGCTACCGTTTTAGTTCCATCCATCATAGTTTGACGAGCACAAGTCCAATTAAAAATAATGGAGTCTTAAACAATTCTTCGGGATATATCAATGAATCTTTTGTCATGAACGAGCAAGGAAAGATGGCATCGCTATCTGATTGCGATTTGAACTCAAAAATGCCTTCAGGAAGCAAAGGTAAAATATTTAAAAATCCAATGTCAAATTGGAATATTCATATCGACTTGTTACTATTAACTATAATATTGTTGTGTTTTCCTTAGATGAGCCAGTAGCGCCATTAAGAAAAATGACTCCCGAAAGAAAGTTGCAAATGATGTTGTTCAACCACAAGGCGCCTTTGGAGAAATCATTATCCATGCCTGATATTCAAATAAAAGCCAAAAATAGGGAACGATTTCGTGTGTACGTATACGTTAAATTATTAATATAATTTAATAAATATACTTTGATATTTATATTAATATACCGTCACATTTTTTACAGAACTTTTAATGAGTATTTAAATCAAAAATTTATTTCAAACAATTATTGAAGTTGTCAAAAAATATAGTTTTGTAAAAAAAACTTGACTGGATTGCGCCATAATTTTGAAAAAAAGACTTGACTGTAGTGCATTGTATAATATATTTTTGCACATATTTATGTTTTAAAGGTTTCTGAACATTTTGACATACCTTAGAAATAATGGATGTATGTGTATGTAGTATGTATGTTCGAATACAAATTTTTTACAAATCAACCGATTTGAATGATTTCGAAAGCATTCGATTTCTATTGATGGGAAGACATGCTGATTTGTTTTTGCCAATACAAAGGCAGGTCGTCCAGTCGTTTCGAACATACGGGGCAAAACAGTGCAAAAAATGGTAATTCAGTTTTTGGGAGACCGGAGCGTTCGATTTGAATATTTCAAAAAACATTCAACTTGTATTGTCGGAATTAAGAGTTGATTAATTTTTGGAAAGGCAGGTCCAATGATTTTGGAGATCTAATGAAAAACGTTCGAAATACATTTTGTGGTCAAAAATGATCATGAGACATATGCACATCAAACTATTAGTTATTTTATAGACATTTTAATAATAAATACAAAATTTGTTTACATTTCTATGGGTTTTGTACCAAAATTTATAATGATTAACCGTTAGAAGGCGACGCCGCGCCTATGCGCTTCAATATTTTGTCTCTAAAACAGCTACGCCGCATGATCTCTTTAATAAAAAATCTAAATTTTTAGAAGAAAATTAAATTACAGTACCGAAAGTTCCAGAAATTTGCCTTAAAGCACGATACCATGCACCACTAGTTTATTTATTTACTAAAAAAAAACCTAATGACACAACAGCCCAGTTTCAAAACATCAGAAATTGAAATAAACTAGGTATACTTTTAGCAAAAATTGAATTACTGACCTTTTTTGATGATTGGTGAGATGTATAAATTGTCAAAGAGAAGGTTGACACTATTATTGGAGTCGAATTTGGGTGGACAGGCCAAAAGGTGGTTTAACTTTTTACCTGAAATGGTAGTGACAATATGTTAAAGTAAAATAAATTAACAACATAAAAAAACAAAATATATTTATTGTGAACGTTTCGGCAATAAATATGCGTCTTCATTCAGCAGTTCAAACTAAGAAAAACATAACAAAAAAGACACTTACGCATTCAATGACGTACCTATTTATATATAAATTAAGGTTTTGGACAACAGTGAGCACAAAACCATAGCAATCGACAAAAATATAAAATTATATAATAAGATTATGTTATATCCATAATTTTGCAATACAAAATATCAATTGTGTTGTGTGCTTCTTGGTATTAACTGTTGAATGGCACATGTCTAGTGTCGAAACGTATAGAATAAATATATTTTATTATACATTGTTATTTTCGACTTATCGGTTGCGAACATTTTAAATCTGTTCGTATAAATGTGCATCGTCAGAACAATAATGAAGAGGTTAACCTTTTCAATAACAACTAAATTCAAAGAACTATTTATTTTCAACTGATGTAAAACACGGCCGGTGTCCGTCATACGGCAGATGCAAATCATTCGAGTTCGCTGACTGAATATAAAATACTTGGGTGCAAATGCAACTGATTATACGTGAAAAAATTCACGGCAAACCACGTACAGACCGCCCAAATAAACGAATGAATTATTTTGTACAGGCTTATAGCCAGACTGCTCTAAAAGCATCGCAATTCTTCATCATTATCAAACTGAACAACGATTACCTAATTATTATATTTTCAATCTTTTGCATTACAATAATAAACTAGTTGGTATTGGTATTTTGCCTTGAGGCAAGTTACATGAACTTTCCGATATGTGTAAATAATCGACTTAATCAATAAAATATGAATTAATTTATAAGTGATTGAAAGTATTCCGAATGAATTCATTACACATAATTGAAAACGAACAAACTCGGAGTATTTTCTAAAAGCAAATTTTCAAAAATCAACAATTTTTGTAATTGAACCAGTTTCCGTAGGACTTTAATGGTTTAGTATGTTCATTAAGATCAAGTACTCTATCGTTATACCAAGTAAATCGTCTATTTTTAATTTTTACAAACATCAAGAAGACTATTCATTTGTCGTAAGACTGTAATATTTCAGTAGGTTCTATAAGATCATGATATACGATATACGTATATCGCCAAAAAAAGTTCCATAAAAATTGACTCAATTTTTTTTCAACAGTTAATTACAAGAAAACGGCTCGGTAGATTTTCACCTAAAACTAGTCCCAACAAATATCTTTCGAACAGTTTTTGATTTTTTAAAATCGGTTCGGTAGTATAAGCTTAAATATGGACGAAAAGTTTAACACTTTTTTCCAAATTACAAAGAAACGGCTTGGCAGATTACTGCACAAAACTGAGAAACGATAGTCCTCATCAAGATACATCAAACGGCTTTTAAATTTATGAAATCGGTTCAGGCGTTTTTGAGAAAACGTCGATGACAGGTCTAATTTTGACAAATGCCAGAAAAATGTTATTAATTTTTGCAAACTTTGAAGAATTTTAAAAATTAAACGACTTGCCGTAGAGCCGTAATATTTTAGTATGATCTACAAGACTATAGTATCTACAGTCAAAAATCATAAAAATCGTCGAAAAAATTTTTTTTAACACTTTATTACAAGAAAACGGCCCGCCGATCTTTACCAAAAACTAATCAGCACGATTCCCAACCAATATCTTTCGAACAGTTTTTGAATTTTCAAAATCGATTGAGAATTGCGGGCTAAAACGTGGACGAAAAGTTTTTCACTTTTCTGCGATTTACAAAGAAACGGTTTGGCTGATCGTCGCGCAAATTTGATTAACTCTAGTCCTCAACGAGATACATCGAATGGCTTTTAAATTTTTGAAATCGGTCTAGCCGTTTTTGAGAAAACATCGATTTACGGCAAAAAATCTGTTCACATACACACACACGCGCATATACATACTTTTTCCAAATTTGATCTCATTCGACTCAGAAGGACTTGAAACGTCGAGAAAACATAAAATTAGCGAATCGGATTTTTTGATGAAAATTTTTGATTTCTCTTTCGGAAAGTTAATATTTTACTTTATTCATTAAATTTCATAATATTCATATCAATGGGCTTTTAGTTCAATAAGCAAATAAGTAGCAAAAATTAGGTTCTCAGGCATAGTCAAAAGTATAAAAACAGACTGTTGAACAACAATTTCCGAGCAAAAAAGCTGCCAGATCAAATTCATATCGTAGAAATTAAAAAATTATAATGATCTATTTTAAATCTACTTATAAGTTTCGGAATGAAAACTTTACATTTTTGGCAGAAAGTGCGATTTGCTAATTTTATGTTTTATCGACGTTTCAGTCATTTTGAATCATGTGCGAACAAAACTGGGAACACTGTGTATTTGTTTTTTTTTTGTATAGCGAAGGAAATGCATTTATGCATCCCAGACTCGTCTTTTGTCTGAATATGTCGGACTCAAAACCGCCTGGGTATAATACCACCTAAAAGACGCTTTTCCTTTGCCCCTGGTCCCTATGGAAACCGCTGTCAGGCATTACTTCGTGGAGGAGAATCTAGAATGTTACAATTCTCGCACTGAAATTATACTTATCTTTCAAATAAGCAAAGTCCCATTTGCTCTTCCTCTTTCCGAAGATCTCAAGTCAATTAGCACTTCAGTAGCAAATATGTCTATGACGTTCCACGCAGCCTCAGTTGTCAGCATCACTTCTACAACAGTATCTGGAGTAATTACTCGGCTTTATATCTCTTCTACACCGTCTTGTAGTGCACTAATTCACGGGCACACAAAGAGCATGTGCTCAGCATCTTTGATTTCGCCACGCAATATGGGCAATCTGGCGAGCTATCGGACTTGAAGCGGTGTAGATAGGCTCGAAAACAGCGTTAACCAGATAGCATTTATGTAATGTAATAGTTAACTTCCTCATGCGTACGATTTAGCCACACATTGATATTTGGAATGAAATTATACGTCGATCTGTCCTTTACTGCGACATCCAACTGTTTATGTCATCGGTCAATGCTGTTTTGCCGTTCTTCTATGCTCAACTTTTCAGGACTCAGTTGTTGATGTCTTCGTTAATAAATTGTCCGTCTTTCTTCTGCAAGACTATGAAAAGCAAGACTATGAAAAGCTTGAAATAACGCACACTGCTTTCTCAGATATTGTGCGGAATGCGCAAACAACTCTTAAGGCACTCAGGCGATATGTAATACATTTTGTACAGCGCCTAATAGTACATTTTGAACAACGTTGTTTATCAGTCCAGTCGTAAGATTTAATTCAAAATAACGTTTTTTTTAATTTTTAATAAATTATTAATTTAAAATATTATGCTAAGTTTTAATTCAAACTCATAACTTATATTCATTCCAGGTTACGCGAGTACATGCGATCAGAATCTGAGCGCAGTTTCGATGAAGTTCAAATTCGACGAGCTCGTCTGCAGTCGCTAGGACTTGCCTATCTAAGTCCACAAAACAAATCCTTGGCCCAGAGTTTCCGATACATGAGACACAAACCTACAATTATTGCCTTCAAGACACCTAGTCTTGAAAACTGCGAGCAGAGAGACTCGGCTTCTTCCATCGGATCCATGAGTGAGTTTGTAATAATAATAACAATAAGTAATAACCAATTTTGACTTTTAGAAGGAACCCGATGATTGATCTTTTCTAATAGTGATGATATTGTTAAATTGTTGTTGTAATGCCCGAAAGGGCTATTTTTACTTAAAAATATATTGCTGAGCCATGTGAAAATGGATATGGCTGCTGCTTGATATTAGGTTGCACGCGGGATTTGAACTCGAATCCCAGTGGTTGCAAATCCAAAGCTCTACAAAACAACTTAACCCAAATAAGAGAAAAATGACGAACATAAAAAATTTAAATGTAATATTTACATTGTCAAACCAATACGAACGATTAAAATTTGCTATCAAAAGCATATTTTGAAGCTTTCAAAATTTAGTATTTCAAATTTAAAAAATCCATAAAATCCATAATCAAAAGTTACAAAATATCTTAAATATAACTTTGCTTTTGTTTGCTTTCAATTTTAATTTAGAACATCCATATTTCTGAAGAAAAAACATTTCAATATTCAAATGCAAACATACTTGAAATATCGATATTTTCACATTCATTATGAAAATTAAAGTAAAAACTGGATATTGCGAGATCAGATCAGAAAATGGAAAATGTCGAATATGACGTTTTCAAAAATTTACAATATAGAATATTTTCTTTGAATATTTTCATCAAATTTTGATTTTTGAAAATATAGTATTAAAACTTTTGAAATAAATGTCATTAAACCTGTACCGGTTATTTAAAGAAAAGTTTAATAGCTACATATTGGATATAAGAAATGAGTAAATCCATAACACGAAGTTTGGAAAGTTAAAACATTTAAAGTATCAAAAATAAAAATGAGCTAAAATTTTATGAATACATTTGGAACTTCTAAATGTAATTTTAGAGTTTTCTTTCGTTTTGAATATCAATAAATAATATAGAGTTAGTGGCTTCTATCCAACATTTGAGTGAGGTATGTACCTACAATAGTTATGACTATCACTTGTAGATATACATATACAATTTAAATTTTATTTGTTACTTAATATTATTTAGGCATTATTTGTTCAAAATTTTTAAATAAAATTGCTGAAATATAAATTAGAACTTTATAAAAATTGATTACCTTATTTGAAGTGGTGTCTGTCCGCATTGACCGTGCAGGAGAAGATAGCAATTCCGTCGTGGCGATTGGAGACCAACAAAAACCAACAGATATCAATTCTCCTTGTAGATCGCCAAGACCTGTTAATTATCCAGTTGGAAAACCATTGGAGGTAATATTTTAATGTGATAATATTCTGGCCCTTAAGAACTATCATTTTGTTACATTTTTAACCAAATTCAACCAAATCGTTAATGCGTTTTCCATAGCAGTATTGTGCCCGAATGATGGCCTAAAAATCATATATTTCTACTTTTTACATTCCAATATGGCTGGTTAATACCCTTCAACCTTCAATTCATGCTCAAAGGATATTATTATTATTTTATGTTATAAATCGAGACTATACAGATTTTGGTTAGTAGAATCACATCTCCTGGATCCAAAATTTGAAATTCGTAAACAGCTCGAAAGCATGTTGTTTTTGGAGAAAGTCCATGTTTATATAAGTGAGAATGATAATGAAGAAAACTGTAGACCTGTACCTGTACAGGAGCAGTTTAGTAACCATAAACTCAAACACATAGACTCACTCACTTTATGGGTAGCAAGTTTGATTAGAAAATTGTTTGGCTTAAATATGGAGAAGTACAAGAAATATAGAAGAATTTTAGTAACTAAAGACGGTTGTTATTTGAATGGCAAAAACTTCGAAATGTACATTCCTACTATTTAGCTCGCTTATGTAAATAGTTGAGTTCATACGTCTCAGTTTGTTTCTTCCAGTTCCATGTATATAAAATAAATTCACGAATAATATCTGCAAACTCTAACAAAATGAGCATATCAATTCATAGAGTTATTACACATTATTAAACAAAAATATATGATGACACCCTTAACTTATATATTACAGCCAATTATGGAAGATGCCATGTCTTGCGAGGACACAATTGATTTACATGAAAACGAGTTCCAAAATTTGCAATTGGGTGAAGGAACCGAGGTTCAAAATGCATGATTTGTTTGATGTTGACAATGTTGTATATGCATCTTTGTTGTAACACAGATTTATATTTATGCGTGTCTATTGTTTCTAAAACACCAATATCATTTTTGAGTAATTAAAATATTTTTCTTAGATTTACCTGGATGGGCCTTATGGCGCACCATCCAGTCACATCTTTCGGGCGCAGCATGCAGTTCTGATAGCAACTGGTATCGGTGTGACACCATTTGCCTCCATCCTGCAGTCCATCATGCATCGTTATTGGAAGGCTCGCCATTCTTGTCCAAAATGCAAATTTTCTTGGGCCAGTGAGATCCCGCCAACAGTCATGAATTTGAGAAAGGTATACCCTAACAAGTTATGAGGTACTGTAATTTAGCACAGGGAGATCCAACACAATTTTTGGTTTTGTATTATTCTGCAATGGTATGCACATTTGCATGAATATTGCAACGTTTAGCGGATCTTGCATAATTATAATCTTGCAATGTTTTGTATGTATAAGATGTATAGTAGACAAAACACTAGACAAACATCTTTACAATCCTGCATGGTTATCAGCATATCATAAATTCTACACAGTTGCAATACTGTAGAATATTGCATGGTTTCTTGTGGAATGGAATGCTGAAAAATTTCGCAAAATCCCCATACTGTCATGATTGTGGATCAGTCATTTTATTACAAATTTTGTTTAATTCTAAGGAATATCAATTTTCTGAAACTCCCTGACTATTATTATTTTGCAGGGTATCGCATTATCTCAAGGAACATGCATGCATAATTTTAGAATAGTTCAAATAGTATGCCTTACTTTAATTAGCAACTAATAGATAATAATTCGTAAAGGCTCCTCTTGATATACGTGAAGACATAAGCGTAGCACGCCTTAACTCATTGGTTCCCCCCGCTCTAACAAAAAAAAATGTTGCGCTCCCCTTAATTTTTTCAAAAAAATTATTTCAAAAATACTCAACGGATGTTATCAGATTACAAATTAATATACAAAATTATGTGAAAATATGCATAAAATATTATATAATTTTAAAATCTTTGGTTAATTTGCCAAAATAAGGAATAAAAAGTATTTGGAGAAGTCCCCCCTGAAAGAACGCCCCCACAGGTTGGAAACTGCGGTCTTAACTACAGTTTGTTTCGGAATCCTACGGATAAAATATGTATTCACTCATAATTATCTGTCAATTTTTACAAAAAAATTACATACAATTCAATTGTACGAATCAATATGCACATTTTAAATTTTTTGAGCAAACATATTTATTGAATGACTCATAGCTGATGATGACCACTCTAGAATCTAAAGTGATCAGCTATAAATCTAGATTTTCTGCATCTATGGAAAATTTGAAAGAATTTTCTTAATTTTTTCTAACGCACGTTGATGGCCCCCATATTTCGGAGGGGCCCGTAAAGGAAAGGAAAATTCCTGATAAGGAAAATTTGGCGGTAGCTGCGCCTCTGGTAGAGATTTAATATATTTCATTCTCAGGTTGACTTTTTCTGGATAAATCGAGACCAGCGTTCTTTCGAATGGTTCGTAAATTTATTATCACAACTTGAAATCGAGCAAGCTGAATTAGGTGGAGCTATGGAACGTTTCCTTGAAATGCACATGTACATCACCAGTGCTTTACAGAAAACTGATATGAAAGCAGTTGGTTTACAGCTAGCTCTTGATTTACTTCATGAAAAGGTAAATAATAATAATAATAAATAATTAAAATAAAGTATAATTAAATTTTTTCATCATTCTTATTGAGATGATATTTTTTGCACATATACTATTATTAATGTAGAAGTTTTTGGTTGTTTAATGATTATATCAATGAAATATTAAACAGTTTCCATAAAAGTGAGACATTCAACGTTGCTGTATCGTTATAGTTATCGTTAAACGTATATTTACTTAAAATATCATTTATTATTTTTAGGAAAAGCGCGACTTGATCACTGGTCTTAAAACAAGAACAATTGCAGGAAGACCAAATTGGGACAAAGTATTCAAACAATTACAAGACCAGAAAAAAGGAAAAATCACCATGTTCTACTGCGGTCCTCCTCAATTAGCAAAAACTCTACGAGTCAAATGTGACCAATATGGCTTCAATTTCCGCAAAGAAATATTTTAAAAAATCATAAATATTTTTATTTGTTTATATTAATTTATGGCGATCGCTTATTGAAATATTGTATATTGTATTTATACTAAAATAGGGTAAATAAACTGGTTCTTGTTTAAATTAGTACATGTTCATAAAAATCTGAGTAAAGTCATTAAAACGGCAGATCATATATTTATACCACTTAGACCAATCAAATATTTTTTTTTTGTCAATAATATTTAAATATCAAAAACAAGAAGTTATAGCTTCTCATTGCTTCTATTCAGTGTTTAAATAAGATAATCGAGTTCATTAATGGACGTGCAAGACATAAAAAAGCAACAAAATACTGTTTTTCAATTTTATGCGAGGTTTTTCTGAATTAATTCTGCTAACTTGTAAAAACATTAATTATAAATATATTTCTATATAAATCAATGTATTAGCTTACGTTCCAAATGTAAAATTATCGTGAAGTATCTAATCAAATGTGGAAGATCAAGTGGTGACAAAAATATTTTAAGTAAATCTAACGTATCAATAAAAGTTTGAACTTATAGTCTTTTTCATAATATTTTGAATAATAATATATTGAACCAGCCATGAGAAGTGATTCTAATTTTTCAGTTTGCAATATGATTCTAAATTTGGTTAATAATTTTTATACTTCATATAGCTGATCAGCAGTCCAGTAATAACATTACTATATCATAACATTATGGCAAAAACTTTCAAGTACAAAAAACTAATCATTTCAGAAATAAAATTTTCAACTTTAGTTTTCAACGCAAAGTGTCATATATATTTTAATCATCGCTTATAAATATTTACAGATTAAGATACATTTGTAATTAGATTTTTGCATTTTGTATTAAACAAATATAAATTATTATAATATATTTTATTATATAATACATTTTTTATTAGTATTAGTATTTGTTTTCCACCTCAAATAATTCGTTCGTTAATTTTAAATTGCACAAATTATTATTATGTTGAGTTAACTATGTGATGTATGTATGTCTATGTAACTAATGATATTAACTTAATAATTAGTAATTAATTAGCTTATGTGTAACTAATATTATTGTATAACAAAGTGCCTTAATAAGCACTCGATTCTTAAACTGCACGAAAAAATTAACTATTCGTAATTAAACTGCATTTAGTAGGCCTATAATGTTTTAGGATATTCGTTCAATTTTCTTTAAATCCGTCAAAAATACATCATTAAATTACGAAGAAACGGCTCGACCGATCTATACTAGTGGTGCATGGCATCGAATCTTATCAATACGAATAGAATGTTTTATGAATTATTCAAAACGGTTGACCCGTGTTCCCGAAATGGTTAAAATTTGTATCCGCACACACACAAATATACATACACACGTACACACATACATAAACACACATCAATTTTTTCTAAAGTATGCCAAAATGTTCAGAAACCTCTGAAACGTAAAGATATATAAAAAATTTCATTTTCGATTTTTTGCGATTACTATATTTTACACCATGGGAAGTTAATTAATCAGCATGATTTCCAACTGATATCATTAGAACAGTATTTCAATTTTCAAAGACAAAAAAATTTGCACTTATTTGATAATGATAAAAACGCAAAACTAATCAACGGAAATCGTTATCGAGATTCATCAAACGTTGAAAAGTTTTAAAACTTTTGAAGACACTTACTTACACATACTTATTCCTATTTTGGAATCAAAAGATTTATATATTGACTTGAAACCTCGAGAAAAATTTAAAATGGCAAATCCAACTTTCTGGCAAAGGCAAAAACTTTATAAAATGAAGTAAGATATAGTAATTATCAATATCAGTAAATATCAATAAAAAATAGGAAACTAATAAAAATATATATTAGTATATAAGATGAACCTTTAACTATTTAGAAAATAAGATGATTTTCTACTATTTAAACTGTACAAGTTTAATAACAATTGTTAGTTGATCTAAAAGTAATCAAATGGGGATTTTATTTTCTAAAATTATATCATACATTGCTTCTTGATTATTTTCACTTGAAGCAAACATTTTCAATACCGTATAAATTTAAAAGCGATCGAGACCTGTACAAACACTTGGCTCATTTTAAAAATTCGGAGAAGTACGGGCCAAAGTAAAGTTTTTTTTTGTTGGTAGTTTTTTTTGGTTTTAAGCTCTTGTATTTAGTTCATGATACTTGAATGTAATTTTGAGGTAAACGTTACTTAATTATTTAGAAACATGTATTGATATTTTTAACGATTATAAGAGATTTAACATCTTTTTTATATAACCTTTATAAAAGTTTACATGTGGGTGGGGTAAAAAGAACCAAATAAACCTTTACAATGCAATGGTTTAAATAATAAAAAATAGTAAAACAGTGAAATGAATTAAAAAAGCAATTTTATAAGGAACAATTTAATTTAGTAGTTATTCGACTTCTGCTGATGAATATTTCTTTCGAAATACAAAATAAAGTTTATATACAACAAAATATTTGTGAAAAATGTTCATATAAAATTTGTATTTCACATTATTTGAATAATGGAGCTACTATTTTGTAAAATCCCTTTAAATTAAAAAAAGACATAAGATTCGCTTGCCCCCTGATGGCTCTCCTTTTTTCACCCCGCCCTTGGGGCAAAATAAGACGGAAAATTTGGGAAAAATAGTATAAAAACATATTTTATTAATTAGAAATTGACTAGAATTATATATGTTATGTGTTGTCTTGTAGTTCATTTAGTTTAAAACTTTTAACAGTATAATTACGAAAAGTAAAGTTGGACCTTTGTGCCCGCACTACCCTAATTATATCCATTTTATCTGAATATGTAGTAAAAACTAAAAACAGCTTTAAAAACTCTAGAAAGTTCATAGAGTTTATACTGAGTATGAACTAATAAAACAAATATTAAAATGTCTTTATAAATATATGGATTTAAATGCATAAAAAATATTTGCATTAATTTATATTTTGCATTATTAATAAAATCTGTACTATTCGATTAACATTATTAGAAAATTGAAAAATGAAAAAGTTTGAGATTTTATCCAAAATTTAATACCAAACTATTCTAGATGGATAGAGTGGCTCGATTCACTTTTAAATTGATATTAAATTAAAATTCTCACTAAATAAACGGCTATGTCATGTATGTTAAACAACACTAATTAGCGTTTACATCTAGAGCGGATTTTGCCTACTTTATAATGACGTTTTGTCAATAACCGAAAATATATTCCAATTTCACTTTCACCGAGTGCAAGTCGTCGTTGCTATTTTTTCCACTTGATATTCACGAAAACAAACGTGCACACAAATAAAAGAATAATCGAAGACGACAATTCTTCAATTCTTTTAGCAGCGGAATGAATGAACTTGATTTTTTAGCTGGAATGCAGAATGTACTTCAAGGAAAACAAGTAAATCTGATCTGAAATGGTTCGGTTTATACTTCATATGAATATATGAAGTATATACGTATAAATTCTGTAGTCTTTTTACTCCAATTCACTATCTCTTTCGATATGTCTAGGATATTAGAGAGAGCGCCAGCGATCATAAAGCCAAAAATAAATTTGATGTAAGGTATGGCGGGGCACAAGGGTCCATGTATATCACAAAAATAACAAACAAACAACTATCTGACTATGTTTGGTTAAAGTTCCAGCTAACTCATCGTTGTAGAAATGTGTTTTTTTTTTAATTTTTAACCCGGTACTTTTTACCCCATAGTCGGATTATATTAGGACTGTCGAGGCAAACCCGTCTAATGTGTTATTTTAATTTTAAAAGGATTTTACAAAATAATAACTACATTATTTAACCGATGCAAAATATATATTTTATGGGTGTATTTTCTATAGAGATAACATTATATTTGACATTTATTAAGGTGGCCATATTTTTTGCATAAAATCCGGGACGGAGGGGGGGGCGTTTGTAAGCTAAAAACTTATATGCACATTTTTTCGGTTCAAATTTTCTAGTTGAAATATATTTTAAAAAATATTGGCAATCAAAACATTTTTAAAAATCCGGGTTATACATTTTTTTTACTTTACTTTCAACTAATCACGTGAGCCTTAAAGGAGACAGGAGGGTTGATAAAAAATTACGATATATCGCTCGGCGGAGGAGAGGATCTAGCAAGATATCTCGTGCATTTATTTTTTAAGTCAATTAAAAAAAATACAATATTTTTAAAAAAAAAATCAAAAAGTTTAAATATTTTCTCAAGGTAAATGCACGTAATCTATGGTGAGAAAGGGGGGGGTTACCTTTACATATCGCAGGGAAAAGCAGGGTCTAAAAATCCTTAGAAATCGCTCACGTGATTAATGGACGCCCCCTAACTTTATTGGTTTTTCAGATATCTATGGTCGACCTTTGCACTAGAGAGCCTTTAAACCTCGCTCTACCCTACTGAAAAATTTATTTAGACACAAACTTTTGATAATACTACGAAAATAAGTTACACTGTTATAATGTCCCAAATTGTCCTTGCAGAGCAGTATTTCACAGCCTTTTCAGCAAGGCCATGCTGAACTTTAATATTTCTTAAATGTTTTTGCTCCGATACTTAAGTTTTAATTTGACAGCGATATTTAGCATTACATTTAAAAAAAAACAAAGCGAAAGGGTGAGGTCGTGTCATGTCCATTTTTATATTGCTTCCCTAAATATAAAATGCCTTTCTGTGGGGGCATTCTAATATTATTTTTAAGAATACGTTATTTAATTGCTTTATAAGATGTATTTTATAGTTGAATTCAAAGTTTTTTTTATATACCATCTTGGGCTTAGGCTTACACGTGGGTAGGGTATAGAGGAGGATTAGTAATTCTTTTAACATCTTATTATATAGCTTGTTTTTAGAAGACAGACCAGTAGTTGTCCTATCCTAGTTGAGATATATTATAACTTAATAGTATTTTTGAGTTTATAATTCAATAATAAAGGCAATTTTCAGTTGAGATTATGTTAAAGGAATTATAACTACAAGTGTTAAGTTGATATCATGTAGCTTGAAATTAAGGTTGACCGAAATTGGGATTGAATCCGAGACTAGTTTTGTGCTAGCTCAGGGTCT